GAGTCTCACAGCCTCTGCACCTAAGCCCACCCACCTGCTAGTGGACTCTACCTAGATGGCCGTGACAGGAGACCCTGTTTCTGGGTGACATGAAGAATCTACTGCAGAAAGTCAGGACCTTACTTGAACACAGTAGACTGGTTTAGACAGGAAAGTCATTTTAAAAGAAGAAGGATATGGGGTGCCTGGGTGGCTCAGCCAGTGAAGCATCTGCCTTCAGCTCAGGTCATGGTCCCAGAGTCCGGGAATCGAGCCCCACGCACTGGGCTCCCTGCTCAGCAGGAAGTCTGCTTCTCCCTTTGCCCCTCCTCCCGGATCATGCTCACTCTCTCTCTCTCTCAAATAAATAAAATCTTAAAAAAATTAAAATAAATAAAAGAACAGGGATACAAATATTAATAAGATTTAACTAAGGTTAATATTAAGGTGAGCCTCAAAATCATGAGAACCTACCAAATAACCAGTGGTAGAAGGAAACAGGGTAAGAATTATAGAGAATTATGTTTTCTATAGAAGTATAGAGGAATCAGTTATACACTGGAAGGCAACTGATTGTTGTAGGGGGCCTTTTCTAAGGGTGATCCTAGAAGTAGCCCACTGATACCAGGAATGAACTCCCTGGGTTTCTACTTCCTAGGCTTAAATCTCTACTTATGAAAATATATTGGTTAATTTTTCCTAGTCTTCTTTCTCTCTCTTTAAATCATTCATCAACATCTTACTTTCTAAGCTGTTTTACCCCACGTGACCTTAAAATGCAATTTTCATATAACCTCCTGCTGGATGGGTTGGTCTAAGGTCCATTCAAAAGGTTTCTAAACTCTCCTACACTGACCACTGAAATTTTCCAGTTTGAACGTGTGACAAAAATCGTTTTAGTTAGATAAATCTTTCTTAGAATGTAGATATAGTTAAATGTCATTACTCACTTGTATTTTCATGTGAATTTGTTACATCAGATGATTTCCCATTTTTCTAAACTTTTAAAATTGAAGCTTAACAAACATACAGTAAAGTGCAGAGATCTTAATTGTAGAACTTTTTGATCTTTTCGCGCACGTGCGCGCACACACACACACACACACACACACACACACACACACACACGCATTGAAGGCTACGTATTTCCCTCTGAGTACCGCTTTGGTTGCTTTCTGTACATGCTGACTTGTGGTATTTTCACTATTCATTTCAAAGTATTTTTCTAATTCCCACTGCAACTGCTTTTTTCCTCCAAGGTTATGTGTGTGTCACTTGATTTTAAAGCATTTTGGGAGTATTTTAGTAGTCTTTTTCTTGTGGATTTCTGGCTTGATTCTACTGTAGCTGGAGAAGATGCTCTGTGTGATTTCAGTCTTTTGAAATTTGTTGAGACTTGCTTTATGGCCCAGAAAACCATTTCTTTCAGTGGATGTTTCATGTGCATTGAAAAGAATGTGTATTCTCCAGTTTTGTTAATCATGTTGCTGAAATAATATATCATATTATGAAATAAATAGAAGTGGGGGGAAGGCAGGGGTTACAGGGATCATGAAGCACCTCATTTTGGCTCTCAACACGGCAAGGCACTGCAAAAGGAACACCTTCAGTGGGGTGTGAGGAGGCCCTCAAAGGCAGGGCCACAGCCTGGGGGCCTGTGGGTGGGGCTCCATGGGCAGCACTGGCAGGGCTTCTGCCATCAAAGCAGGGCCAACGAGGTCATTAAGCCCAGAAGGTGATGATGTACCCATACCCATTCCCTCTCTTCTCACTGGTGCCCCCGTCCCCACTCCTGTGTCTCAAGGAGGACTAGGCTGGCACCTACTAGTCCCACTTCTGTTTCTGGCTTGCTCTATGATCTTGAGCCTCAGTTTCTCTCATCTGCAAAACTGGAAGGACTATCTCACTCATTCAGTTGGGTAGAGATGCCACTCTACTCCAGGACTTACTACTGGCATGGTAACTTCTGACCACTTCTGTATCACCGAAGGCTCTGTGTATATGATCACGTGCCTAGTAGTAACAATGGCTAATATTAATCACGTGCCATGAGTTGGGGATGGTTCTAAGCACTTTGTAAGTAGTCCCTCTTTTGCTCCTCACAATAACCTGTGAGTAGGCATGAGCATCACCCTTACCTTACAGACGAGGAAAGGGAGACAGAGGTCAGAGAGCTTGCCCGGGGCCACACTGTTAGTAAACAGGGGGTGGCATTTGGAGTCAGGCAGTCTGACTTTAGGGTGGACTCTTCTCAGAAGGACCATATACTCCAGGCTGCCTGCACAATACCAGTTTCTCCGGTATAACCTGGGTTTACACATACTGCCTAGGCATGATTATTGGTAGTGCCCTGTTTCATGTAAAAAATGTCCCAGTTTAGATGTTCAATCCTGGCTCTTTGCCACTATCTCATAGTGCTTGTCAATGATAGTCAGTATTCCTGAAGCCTCAGAATTTCTCTGCCCCCATCCCCTCCACCTGCTGTAGGTTTCTCCAACCCGCCACACGCTCTTACACACAGGGTCACCAGCCCCCATTCACCAAGCCTAAAGCATTTCCCTTAACTGCATTATTTGCTAAAATCTGAGCTCAGTTCTCTACCCTGACCATCCACCACAGCACCTGACACACGGGTATTCACTAGTTGAATGAATGAATGAACAGATGAACATGGGCACTACGGGGCCACAGGAAAGCTCCTGCACTCTTTAAGGGTCATGCAAATATTTCTCACCGAGTTCCCCAGGACAACTAAGTCAAAGATGATGGAAAAGAGAGAAGCACAACTCACTCAGTTCCTTCTGGGTCCTGAACCTGCACGAATGTGAAGGACCCCGTGGTCTGGCACAGGGCCTCCTGGGGAGCCTGCAGAAGCCAGCCCAGGGACTTGCTCTGTTTCTCCCCAGAGCTTTCCATGTCGTCCCCTCTTTCCCCTCATCTTTCAGTTCTAGCCTCAGGTAAGAAACGCAGACCTTGGCCCAGGGTATGCCAAAGTAGAAAATCCCTTCAAAAAACACCCAAACAAGGCACAAACAGTGACAGGATGGCCCCTGCTGGTGGGACATCCCTGGCGCATTGTCAGGCTCTTCCTTGTGGAATCAGACCTCACAAGAAACCACAGCAGGAGGGGCGGCTTTGACAGGTTTGGAAGGTGAGCGTGCAGGTAACCCCCTTCTCTGAACCGCACACCCTCTTTTCCTTGCCTTTGCTCCAGTCCTTCCAGATGGCTGTCCAGCAGAGGCTGGGAAAGCCTGGAGTCCCGGAGGCCCACCCCAGTACCCCAGTGGGATCTCGGCGCCGACCACATGTGGCTTCCTCCTTAAAACGCTCAGCGGCAGAGCAACGGAGCTGTGAGAGGTAAGAGTGTGTGCACCTGACCTGAAAGGAGCTCATTAAAGAAATGCCCGATCCGAGGGAGGCAAGTCATTCTGCCCAGGTTTCAGAAACATAAGATTTCCTAGTCATGGAGACAAGGTGTTTCAGGGCCTTGAGAAGCCACCTCTGGCCCTGGCACCCCTCTGACTCCCTGGCCAGGAGTCGGAAGCTTCAGCCCCCTGCGGCGGCAGCCAGTGAAGAGGCCTGGTCTCTCATTTAATGGTCTCAGGTGCCGTCACCTCTACTTTATAACCGAGGGGGCTGAGGCTCCTCTAGCAGACCCAGGCACCCATCGCTGGTGTTGTTGGTGTCAAAGTCAAGACCTCTCAGTTCTGGCCTTTCATCAGGAATTTTTTTTTTAAGATTTTTTATTTTTTCATTTGAGACACAGATACAGAGAGAGAGAGAGCATGAGCAGGGAGAGAGGCAGAGGGAGAGGGAGAAGCAGACTCCTCGCCGAGCCAGGAGCCGGATGTGGGGCTCGATCCTAGGACCCTGGGATCATGACCTGAGCCGAAGGCAGACGCTTAACCATCTCAGCCACCCAGGCGCCCCTCATCAGGATTTGAGGAAAGAAAAAAGTCACCTCCAGCCAGAGTTGATTTCTCTGTCCAAGCTTGGTACTTGGAGCACGGAGATACCTCCATGAGAAGCCTCGCACAGCAAGGATGGAGGTTTCAGAGGCGGCCCATTCAGGATCTATACGGTAAAGAGCAAGGGCAGAAGGAAGGCCCCAGAGCCCAGGATGTTGGGGTTCAGCAGAGGGATGGCTCAGAGGAATGTGACAAAGACAGGGCAGCTACACCCCTCAGCTCCAGGGGGTGCTGTACACATCAGGGGCCGGTGAGTGGCTGCCGCTGGAGCTGTGCAGGGCACGGTCTATGCGGGTGCCCACAGCTGCCCTGGCAAGCACCCAGCTGCTCATTTCTGATCTTCCTTCTCTCCTGTGTTCCTTGCCAGGACTGGGTGCCTTCTGTCTGATGGAGCCAGCTGGGTGGACTCTTGACTTTTATTAGAGGTTTGCAAACAGAGCCTGGGCAGCACAAAAATATACTGGGTGGGCAGACACCAGGGGGCTGGTACCACTGAGAACCTCCCACCCCCATGCACCTTTTTAAACATATAAGCCTCAACTCTGATCTGCAGGTAGCTATCATCCTCTTTTTTCTAGAGAATGGGAGGTGGATTAAAACTGATTTAAGTCTAATTTCTAAGATAACCAAGACTGTTAGTGGTCTGTCAAAAGTTGTCTCCCCTTCCTTCTATTAAAACGGAGTTGCAGGTGGGTACGCAGCCACCTCAGTAGCAACCACATTTCCCAGCTAGATCTGGCCAACTGGTAGTTCTTGACAATGGGATGTGTATGGAAGGGCCACGTCCAGGCTTGCCGCTGGGAGAAGGAGCACAGATGTGCCTGAAACTGAGCTTCCACCACGCAAACAAGCACAGCCCCTCAAAGCAATGGCTCTCCAACTTTAGGGCACATTCGAATCCCCTGGAGGGCTTTTATAGCCACAAGGAGCTGGGCCCCAGCCTGAGATTCTGATTCCATAGGTCTGGGATGGTGCCTGAGAATTTGCATTTCCAACAAGTTTCCAGGGGTCTATTGATGCTGCTGGTCAGGGGACCATACCTGGAGACCACACCCTGCCCTTGGGGAGGGCAGAGACACCAGAGGGCAGGAACCTGGATCCCTGTGCGACTTGTGGAGGACAGCTGGCCTGCCCTGGACTATTAAAAGAGAGAAAGAAACTTCTTTTCTCTCAGAGGCCCAGCTTTGTCTCTAACTGAATCCTGTCCGTAGGAGTCAGAGTCTTCACTGTAGAATGTCCCACTCAAAAAGAAGAAGAAAGAAAGGCCTACTGTAGCTCCCTCTCCAAGAGCAACGCGGTGGTCCCCAAGCAGACCGGCGCCCAGAGCCAGGATGCGAGCGATTGCAGATGGAAGGCTCCCGAGCCTGACCTGGTGGCCACGCACGCTACCTCCCAAGTCCCACATGGCCCTGAATCCTGTCTCCTTCTCAAATCATTGCCAGACCCTTCTTCTCTTCACCACCGGGGCTCCGGGCATGGTCCAGCCCACCACAGTCCAGCCACCCCCTCCCCTCTACTCACCCCATAGTCACTTCTGATCGCCAAAGCCAGAGGCAGATTTTCCCACCTCATCCCCCTTCACCTCTGCTGAATTGGACACTACTGAGTGCACCTTCCTTTTGAAGCTCTCTCTCCGCGGCTGGTTTCACAGCCCCACCCCTGCCCAATCCCTCCCGTGTCTCCAATTTGCTCTGATCTGAACATCAGGACGTCATGACGCCGAGTCACTGACTCTGTGCTCTCCTCAGTCTCATTGGCTGGGTCCCCTTCTTGGTGCACTCCTTTAATTAAAGGCTGGTGCTACCTCCGGGGGCAAGGTGGGGACTATTCTTTGTGCTTTGCCTCCTGTCGATCCTTTTCAACCTCACTCACACCCAGCTCCACCTACGTCTCCCAAGCTGACGACTCTCAGAAACCTGCTGGGCACTAGGCTCTCTCACCTGGCTGCCAGCCCAGCTGAAACTAAGTCAGTAGCTCCCCCACCAACCCGGCCATCTGGGATCCCTGACACTCCCATCCAGCCACCCACCCAGGGCACCAATCTTCGGGATTATGACCCACCCCTCTCTTTTCCAGTGTCATCACTTCCTGCCCCAACCCTTACCACTGCACCCAGATGTCCCCCGTCTGCCCTCCTTCATCAACCCCTAGTCAATCCACTCAACTCTGCTCTTCTGCGACCGCCTGCCGTAGGCCTACCCCTCATTTATTGCTGTGGTGGTCTTGTTGGTGCTTCATGTATCTCCTTTCCCTTCTGAGATCAACTAATTAATTAATCTGTTAATTTATTGAGCACTCAAGGCCTGGCTATGTGATGTAATGGGCTGGAGATTAAAGAGAAGGTGAATGACGCAGGCCCCAACCTCAGAGAGCTCCCATTGTGGGAGACGGTCACATCAGCGTCATCCAACCCAATGCATGAAGTTCAGAGAGAAAAGTGTGTCCAGGAGAGGAACTACTAGTGAGAGTTCAAGCACAAGTAGGAATTTGTCAAAGAAGGTGACAAATTAGCTATATGCCAGGCTCAAGATTCTGGACTTTATTATGAAAGCAATGGGTACCGGTGAACTTTCTGATTCAGGGAGTAATAGAATTAGAGTCACTACTTACGAAGTTAGATTAAATAAACCCAAATGGTTTAGCAGGTTATAAACCAGATCCTGGGGTTTGGGAAGAAGCATTCCTTTAAATGAATTTTTAAAATCTGCCATGGAGCACGGGCATCTGAAGGGAGAACCAGGCCTGTGTCCGGTTGATTTGCTGTGGCTCTGTAAGAGGCTGCAGTGGACACTGTGCTGTCCAGGGCGGTCAAGGGTGAGCCAGCCCAGCCCACTGTCAGTCCAAGCAGCTGGCTCTGGCTGACTACCTGCACTGGTGGACCAGGCTAGGGGAGCAGAGGAGCCGACAGCGAGAAGTAAAACCCTAAACCCACTGAGGAAAATCACCGCCTCTCTAAACAAAGAGCACAGGGTTTTAATTTTGACACATTAGGTTTCAAAGACACCTTTTAAAAAGAAAAACGCATTGCCTAATATACTTACTGCTCCCTCTAAAAACCAGCTTAATTATAGTGAGGAATACAGTCTATAATTTTTCCCACACTCGGAGATGGATCTGTATTATAATTTCCCCGATCTTCATGAATGAACGGATATAAGATTTCCACCCAGAAAGAGCTGCTCTTTTCATCACCCATGTGGAGACATGTGCTTGAGCCCCTGTCCGGTTGGGGGGCTGCTGGGTCATCACCCCTGAAAGGGAAGGCTGGAGCTTGGCATGAGGGGATTTGGTTGGAGATTGTGTGTGTTCCTGTGAACTCAGGAGGGGACAGGCACTAAGGGTGGTCCTCCCTTCCCGTGATTCCCAAACAAAGGGGAATTGCCAAAAGGATGCTAGGAATATCTGCTGACACTGAGGGATGATATTTACGGAGGCATTAGCAGATGGGGTTTGGCTGGGGGGCAGGGGTGGACAAGCAGAGGCCCAGGAGTCAGGGGGTCTAATTCAGCATTTCCCTTACTACTTGTCAGCACTTTGGGCAAATCGCTGTCTCTCTCTGTGCCTCATTTTATTTTTATTTTTATTTTTTTAATAATTTTTTTATTGTTATGTTAACCACCATACATCATTAGTTTTTGATGCAGTGTTCCATGATTCATTGTTTGTGCATAACACCCAGTGCTCCACGCAGAATGTGCCCTCTTT